TGGGCCCCTCAGGTCAGCGGACACTCAAATTACAGCTAGGGAAGGAAGGATTGTCTTTTCAAAGTGGTTGATGTTGAGTATGGTCGAACTGGAATTCCAGCGGGTTATCGGGGGCCGTAGATCACACGGAAGGAGATTGCCCATCTTTCTCCTCTGGAGCAGCTGGTGGATTCCAGTTGTATGCTTTTGGCTTGGTAGTGCAGTTCCTTACCACTAAGCCAATTGACCTTAATGTCTGGCTGGAATAAAGCCTTCAAGATGTTCATTTGTGGATATGATATGGCTCAAAAGAGAAAAAAAGGTGCAAACATTCATTAGTAACCAGAACATGAAATATACTAAGTTTGATTAGAAAAATTAGAAATAGTAAGAAATGAAATGGGAAGCTTGAAGATTGATATACTAAGAATGAGTGAGTTCGTTGCTGTGGTGGTGGTGCCTCCCGTCAGATCTGACCCATAGCTGACTCTCCAGTCCATCACGCGTGGGCTGGAAGTGATAGCTATTCTCCATTTTGAATTAGATAATCATATAGTGTGGTGGACAACTGAGGGAACTCTGCTGGCTTAATGGAAAGGAATTGTGCTGTCAACCCACAGGAATGTGGTTCAGATCCACTGGTGAAAAATGGGCAATTTCCTTCCATGTGATTCATTGCCTCTGAAAATCCGACGGAGAGTCAGCTATGAGTTGATTCCCACTTGCTAATATGTAACAAACACAGTGATTTATAATCCAGGAAAGGCGAACTTAAGAGGAATGGTGTCACATTCATTTTCAAAAGGAACATTCCAAGGCATATCCTCAAATACAATGCAGTAGTGATAGGACAATATCCAAACGCCTACGAAGAGAAGCAGTTAATACGGCAATCATTCAAATTTACCACTAATGCCAAAGATAAAGAAATTGAAGATTTTTATTAACTTCTGCTTTCTGAAGTTGACTGAACATGCAATCAAGATGCATTGATAATTACTGGTGTATAGTTTGGCCAGGCAAACGGAATGTACAAATACTACTTAAAACTCAAGCCTGACCTTCAGCAAAACTGAGATGTATCTTTTCCTAAATCTGAAACTCTCCCAAAAAAGGGGTGCTGAGCTAGCGAGCTCCCTCCCACAGACAGGGAAATTACCAGTAAGTTTCCAGGTGTCCACATTTCCTTGTCGTTTCCAGTACATACATGAGCTTTAAATTATTACAACCTGATTCCAGAAGGCCAGTCTTGACCTTAGTACTATATTGTTAATCCATCCAGAACCAACTTTAAGAGAAACCCATTACCGCCCAATTGATTCTGATAGAGACGGTGCATTGGGACCTTCTGCTGGGTTTTAAGGCTGTAAATTTTTAGGGGAAGAAACTGCCTAATCTTTCTTCCAACAACCAGCAGATGATAGATTTGAACAATAAACCCTTTGGTTAACAAACCAATGCCTTAGTATTTATTCCTTGTAGGTTTTTCTCTGTATCCATTTTTCACACTGAGTGACAGGCCTGGGGCTATACCACTGAACACATCCTTATGGGATAGCCTGACTCACTTCATGAGAATCTTCCTCCCTAACTGTGTAACTTTATGAGGAGGGATATGGCATCAGGATTGGAGGAAGATTCATCAACAACCTGTGTTATGCAGATGACACAAGCCTGCTTGCTGAAACTGAAGAGGACATGAGGCATTTGCTGCAGAAAGTCAAGGGCTGTAGTCTTCAGTATGGAACCCAACATCAGGAAAAACAAAGATTGTCACCACTGACTGGGCCAATTAGTAGCTTCATCATGGATGGAGAAGAGATTGAAATTGTTGATAACTTCAGCTTGCTTGGTTCCACAGTTAACATTCTTGGCACCAGCAGTCAGGAAATCAAAAGATGAAGTGCATTGGGAAAGTTGGCTGTCAGGACCCTCTCTAGAATGCTGAAGAGCAATGATATCATCTAGAGACTAAAGAGTGCCTGATCCAGGACCTAGTCTTTGCAATTACTTGCTATGCATCACAGAGCTGGGCAATAAGTAAGGATGACAGAAGAAGGATTGATGCCTGTGAGTTGTGGTGCCAGAGAAGAGTCTTGAACATACCGTGGACTGCCAGAAGAACAACCAGGCTGCTCCCTGGAGTCAAGGGTTTTGAGGATATGTTTCACATATTTTGGGCACATGTCCAGGAGGGGCCAATTCTTGGAGAGGCACATCACGATTGGAAGGGTGGAGGGACAGTGCAGAGAGGAAGACTAAGGATGGGATGGATTGACTCAGTGACTGGAGAAATAAGATTAAGTCTGTTGGATACTAAGACTGGCCCAGGGTAGGGCCAATTTCAAAGCTAATTAATAGAGGGTCCTTATGAGTCGCAGGGACTTGATGGCACATAACAAACAGCTGCTTAACTTGCTTATCTTCACATTCATGCATTTAAAAAACAAACAAAAACCATACATGTGCATAACCCAAAAACCCCCAGACAAACCAATAGTAAGAAAATGCCATCTAAGAAGCATGAAATCTCAAAGATTAGAAAAAACTTCGAACCATCTCCGTAGACATTAGTTGGGAGATTCCCTTGGGGGCCACTTACAAGCCTACTTCCTCAAGGACCAATTTATTCAAAGCCAAATGCAAGATCTTGTACCGTGTAGGAATGTAAAATCGTGTAGGAATGTAAAATAATGTTTGGCCACACATGATTTTTAGCCTCCTCTTTCACCATTTCTCCTATCCTTCATCTTCTCCAGTTAGGATTTACAGCCTCAGAAGCCCAAGGGAGAATTGCTAAGAGTCAGAATCGACTGAGAACACGATGGTGCTGAGTTTTGGGTGTACTGATGTTGTTATTAGATGCAGTTGAGTTGACTCCTAGGGACCCTTTTGAACAGGAGACCTGAACCCTGTCCTATCCTGTGCCGTTTTCATCAGCTTGAGCACTTTGACTGTAACCTATTATTACTACATTTCTCTACAACTACTTTCTTTTTTAAAGCACTGCCTAACTAGATAGAATGTGCGCTTTTATTGGGCTAGTTTACTGGGAGTTCCAAAATGTTCCCAGGTACCAAACATATTTAGAGAAATAATTCCGGCTCTTTGGAATGTGGCTACCTGGCCGAGGCGTGAAGACACGTGGTGGGCAAGAAATGATTTTGCGTCTGGTCCTAAAAATCAGTTTGCACCTCTACGGTTTTTTTATTTTCTGATGATCTAAAAAATATATGTTCATTGTATTAATAAAAAAAAAAAAGGTACAGGGCGGGGAAGGGATACAGAGAAAATAGGAAGGACTTGACATCAGCGTGATTTCTGGAAGTGAACCTCTGGGCTCGCTCGGGAAGGCGATGGGAGAGTGCGTACGCACTGGGACGACGGGGTGTCTCTGGCCAGTGGACTCAACTAGATACGGGCGCCCGGCCGTCCAGGGGCCTGGGACGCAGGGCCAAGCCCATGGGCGCTTCCATTCAGCCACCTGTACGGTGACTTGGCGCTTTCCCCGGAGCAGCTCCTGGACGCCGCACTCCCAGTTCTCACCGAATTCTACGCACAGACCCAACCTAGGAACCCTCCCGGGTAACTGTCTACCGACTGAAAATAGATTCCAAGTCCGCCCTCCGCCTCCCCCCACCTTTAAAAAAATCCTCCCCTTTAAAGAGCGCCTCCGGGTGACGCGCGGGGGAGGGGGGGAGAGTTTGCGGAAGCGCCTAATGCTTTTGGGCCCTGGGCGGGTCCCGTGATTGGCTCGGGCCCCGCCCCCGGCTCCTCTTCCCCCATTGTGTGTGCGGCTGGAGCCCAGGCTCCGCCCCTCGCCTCCTCCCTCCGGGGCTCGGCCCCGCCCCCTTTGTCTCCCCTCCCCTTGGCTCATTTCCGGCCCGCCGCTGCTACCGCTTGTCTGTAAGGAGAATTCGGCAGAGGGAAGAAACAACAGCCGCCATCTTGTTTGTGTGCTAGGCTCGGGGGGGAGCGGGCGAGAGGGAGCGGGCGAGAGTGGGCAAGCAGGGTGCCTTGCTGAGTGCGAGCTGTCGGAGCGACAGAGTGCGGAAGGGAGCCGAGCCGGAGAGAGGCGGCAGGGCCGAGACAGTGGCCGGGGGTCCGGGGCGCACGGGCTAAGGCGACCCCCCAGCCCCCCTCCCGTCCGCACACACCCCCACCGCGGCCGGGAGCCGGGCCGGCGTCGACGCCTAGGGGGGAACCATTACATAACCCCGCGCCCCGCGGCGTCTTCGCCCGCCGCCTGGGGCGGCCCGAGTGGAGGCTCGAGGGGCGGGCACCCAGCCCCTGCCTGCCGGGGGTGGGGGGGCCGTCGCGGCGGGGCCGTATTTATTTCTTGGCCGCGGCGCGAGGAGAGGCCGCCTGCGCCGCCCTCCGGAGCGGGCCTCCTCGGTGGGTTCGCTGCGCGGCCCGGCCCCCCTCGACTCGCTGCGCCGGCAGCTCCGCGCCCGGCGTCTCCGCCGCCGCGTCTCCTCCGCCTGCGCCGCGCGATGTAAGGCGGCGGCGCCAGCCTGGCTCTCGGCTCGGGCGGGCTCTGCGGCCATTAGGAGCCGGTGCGGCGGCGGCGGCGCGGAGTGCGGCGGCAGGAGGGGGCACCGGGAGGAGGTGGGTGTCTCCCGTCGCCGCCTCCTCTCCCTCCCTTTTCGCCCCCGCCTCCTTGTGGCGATGAGAAGGAGGAGGACAGCGCCGAGGAGGAAGAGTCTGATGGCGGCGGCGCTCCGGGAGACCTCGGCTGGGCTCGAGCCGGCAGCCACGGGCCGGGCACGGAGCCTCTAGAGCCGCGAGTCGTCGCAGCCCCGCGCCTCCCGCGGGCTCGGCCCCTCTTGGCCGGGCCCCCTGTCTTCTCTGTCGGAGTCCGCATCCCTCGAGCCTTCGCCGCGACCCGGCGACCAGAAAAAGGAACTTCCCCCCCCTCCACCCCAGCCCCCTTCGGGAGCCCCCCGAGCGCACCGCAGGCCGCGGGGCGGGGACCCCGCGCGATCGCCGCGTCTTCGCCCGTGTCTTCGGCAGAATCAAAAATGGCCGAGAATGTCGTGGAACCGGGGCCGCCTTCAGCCAAGCGGCCTAAACTCTCGTCTCCGGCCCTCTCGGCGTCGGCCAGCGACGGCACAGGTCAGTCCCGCGGGCCCCGCGCACCTTCGCCTTCCATGTTGGCTTCCTCCTCGCGCTGCCGAGTCCGCGGCCGGAGCCCCGGGGGCCCCACTGTCAGCGCGACGTGGGCTCTGGAAGCGGGGTTCGGGGAGGGGGGGTGTGGGTGCCGTGGGGGAGAAGGGCCTTCATTGTGGCGCTCGCAGCATTTCGTTTTCGGGGGAAAGAGGCCGGTGCGTGTGAATGCAGGGGAATCGCGATGCCGTTCGCGTGTTTTCCTACCTGATTTTTAATCCGTTTTTTTCTGGGCCCGGTGCGTAGAGGAGGAATCGCTGAAGGCTTGCTCCCGGGTTGCACGCCTCCTCTTCTTCCTTCTACTTTGCGCTCTTCCTTTTCAAGATTTCTTTTTTCTCTCTCTCTTTCTTTCCTTTGCACAAAGATTGTGTGCGGAGTCGGGTGGGGGGGAGTGTGTGTGTGTAAATCACGGTTTTCATCTGGCTTTTCATTTTGTGTCTGGGATGCAGGATTTCGGGTTAGACGTGAGGTTTGGCGAAATCGGATCTTACTCCTCAGCTGCTCCCCTTCACCCCCTTGATTATTTATTTGCCTTAAGGATCAATATGGAGCGCAGTTCATCTCAACATCTCCCAATTCTTTGCTCTGGGATCACAATGTGTGGAACTCTGGGGTTTTCAAGTTGAGAGGAATAGAGTTATTTTTGCCATTTTTTAAATTCACTTTCTCTTATTTGGGGAAGTAGGGGGGAACCTAATTTTTAATTTTTTTTTCCCCCCCGTTCTGGACAGTTAAGAGTGGAAGGGGCAAGAAAGCCCGGGATCCTGCAGGTAACAAGATGATTGCACCGAAGTTGAAAATGTGTGTGGGATGTGTGTTTCCCCCCTTTTGCCTTTTAAGCCTGTTTGGAGAGCTGTTTTTAGGTTGAGAGCGCTAAAGATCTTAACTCTTGTGCACTAGTCCTTTGTCAGGGGCTGCCTCCTCGCCCTTCTAGTTGGATGGCCTTGGTTATCCTGATGGTCACCGACCTCAGTGTTCACTAGGCAGTTTGAGATGCCAGGAAGAGGAAGAATGGCTGACCGTCTCACAGTCGGCAAGATGCTACTCTTACTGTGGAGCATTTTTAAAACTCCCCAGATCGGGCTCAACGTCATCCCCCCATCTGCCAGTGAGAGTGTATAATGGAGTTAAATGTACCCTTTGAGTTTACAGAACTTTTCCGGCGTATTTCTAAGGAGACTGAATTTCACAGGGTGAAAATGTGAGGAAATGACAAGTGCTTCGAATTTCGATGCTCATCTGAGAAAGTTGTATCACTCTTAATTTAAGATGACTGTAAAACTTTTTTTTTCCCCTTTCTCCTTTAAAAGCAGACACCATGCAGAGTTCTTTTTACCTGAGGCTTGTGGTGACACTGGCTGTGTGAACTTTGATCTGATCTTGTGCATTAAAGTTTCTGTAGTCTTCAGTGATTCTTAGCTGTTACCTTTTTTTTCCTTTAGAATTTTTGCATACAATTAGAAAGTGTCACTCTGACCTCCTCTCCCCCTCTTTTTGAAGGCCATCTTCAGACATTTTTACATGTAGTTTTTACTTTAGTGATTTTGCATCTTAATTTTTGTGTAATAGATTTCACAGTGTGGTGAGTAGAGTGGTATTGGAGGGGGAACCTTGCATCATTTTGATGGATCTGATTGGAGCAGTTTGGTCTTGGAGTGGTGGTTCTTTAAGGCTGTGTCTGGTGTTCTGATCCTCCACTGCCTTCAGCTCACAATGCTTGAACAGGTTCAGCACATTTTGGTAGTGTCCTACCTGACTAGTGTTAAACCTAACGTGTGCTGCTTGAACTGGAGAGGCATGAAGAGTATCAAGTACCTTTTTTAAATTTTTCCCTCCTCACTCTAGAGAATGAGCTCTCAACATTGAGATTTTACTAACAGTTTGACATGACATGACTTATTTTTCTCTGAACTTTGTACTCAGGGTATGAATTTCTTTTCATCCTGTTCTCAAAGTTCTTTTCCAGGAATTCTTTGAGATACAATTTTTTGTTTTTCACCCAAGGGATTGGGATTAGCCTTTACAAAGAGGAGGACATGGGGGCTTCTCAGCTACATGCATACTTTTCTCTGAGACACAGCTTTTAATTCTGAGCAGTTTGAGTACTTTGTTGGGAGAAAGGTAAATAATAAAATACTGTTCTTTTGTGAACTTCAAGTTGGGCACCATTACAGTATTGTTTTGAATTCAACTTTGTTCTGAATGATAGGCTGGCAGACAACTTTGAAAGTACTTCACTTTTAAAACTCTACGTTTCAAACTTAAAAGTTTTAAATATTTATCTTTTGAGTTGTGAATTGGATTTTTTTTTTTAAATGAATTGGATTTTTGAAAATGTCAAAGAAAACAACTTTTCTTTGGTGATAGGTTTTTAATTCATGGGAGAAAGATAAGCAGTCAACTCCCCTGCAGTTTACAGCCTCGGAACAGAGCGTGCGTTAGGAGCTTTCTATTTGATTTGAACTCAGAGAGCTTTTTAAAAAAAAATTTTAAGTAATTGAGGCTTACAGTTTTCAGAGTATAAACTCAAAAAACTTTATGTCCACCAAGTTAGAATTGACTTAGACATAGCTGATCCTCCAGCATGTTTTCAGATTGTTCCTCTTTCTCCCTTGGAACTGCTGGTGGATTTGAACCTCCAAGGAGGCACCCACCACCTTAGGTTTGTTGCTCCACTCCCTGTGCACTTCACCACCAGAGCTCCAGATTTTTGTAATATACTTAACTAAACCCCTACCTCAGATCTGACTCATAGTGGGCCCCCCTCCCCAGGCGGGTTTTCAGAGGCTGTAGATCCACAAGAGGTGATTGACCATCTTTTCTCCTGAGGAGCAGCTGGTGGATTTGAACCACATGCCTTTGGGTTGGTAGTGCAACTCCTTTACGCACTAAGCCACTAGAGTACCAGATACCTCTTAAAAGCATAGAGCACATTAATTTTATAGGAAAGAAAACTAGAGTCTGGTTGGGCTAACATGCTGAAGGTTACAAAACATGAACATCCCAAATTTTAGGAAGAGGATGAAAAGAGATTTTATACATACATACCCTGTTTCAAGAATTATATTTTATTTAATTTGTTATGGCTCAGGCAGTACAAATAATTGTACAATGAAAAAACTTCTATCCTCCCCCCTCTCAAAGATTATAAAAACCATTAGTTTTGTAAAATTCTTTGTCAGGAGAGATAGCAAAAAGTAAGCCCTGGATTATCATTTTGTTAATAATCTGAGTGATAGAAATGAGGATGATATCTTAATTGCACAGAGAACATGTTCTGTCACTTCTTTGGAAATTCGTACTTCTGTATGTACTTACAGACTGGACTCTGGTGGGAAGGCTGGACTCTGGAAAGATGGCTTAGAGTTTGGGGTGTTAGATGGGTTAAATATCCTTCTGGTCTTAATACAGTTTTGTGACCCTACAGTGGACTTACGTCAGGATTGATTAGCTTGGATTTATGGTCCTGGTTTTTCATTTTCACCTCGAGTGACACAAAGTAGAGAATATAAAATGTTCTTGCATCCTGTATGGCACATTGACAGCTTGAAAAGTTGGCAGTGGAAAAGTGAGTTTTTTCATGTCATTTTTACTTTTTCAGAATAGCATTAAATATTAGTGGTCGAACAAAACCATTTTGGTGAGGCCACTCCTTTTTCAGCCCATTTGACAGATGGGGATTCATAATCTTACTTTTTTAGATGTGAATATATACTTTAGTTAGGAGGTCTTTAAAGGAGCCTTCTTGGTTCAGAGAGGTATTGCTAGACCTCACCATTAAATTGCACAGCATTCTACTGAGCATTGAACTTCTTTCTTTCACCATTCTTGAGGACCTTGTAAGGGCTTAGGATGACTTGTTAAGATAAAATGATTTTCGAGTTGTAAATCTTGTCGTCTTACAGCAGCTCTTTTCAGCTGGAGTTCATATCTTTTTTGCAGAGGGAGGAGATACATTTCCATGTCCACTGAATGATGATGGAAGAACAGAAAAGAGGGTTCCCTGGGCACTTTGATATTTTTCTGGTTTACTTTGCTTTATCTACCTTCTCTTTAGTCTCCATGATAAAAGGGAGTTAGAGGAATGAAACACTGGTATTGAAAATTCATGCTTGCTTGATGTTTCTAAGTACATTCATGGTAAATAAGAAAGGGGGGGGAAGAGTGGGAAGAATATTGCCTCTCTAAGTGGGAGTGTAAAATACTTCTTTCAGATGTGTTTTTGAAAACCATTCAGGAGTTTTTCTGCCAATTCACACCCAGCAATTAATGGAAAAAGGAAACCTACTTCTGTGTTCAGATTTGAGGGTTTTTTTGAAATTGAGTATGGGTAACAGTGAAATTAAGGAAACTCCTTACACTAAATGTAAACATTTTAAATTACTGAATTTAGCAGGTAATTTTTTATTATTGTGATGAGTGGTTGGTCATTTTTCCTTCCCTGAAATTGTGCTCAGTTCTATTCAGTATTTCTTAAAAGGTTTAAAAGAAGAAATAATAATTCTTTTGAGCGATTTGGATGTAATTTTTATTTAAATGTGGATGTTTTTCTTTTTAATGTAACAACAAGAGATAGGCGTTTATAATTTAGTTAGCATGTATAGGACCTGTTAAATGAACACTACTGGGGGAAAGTGAGATGAGTGTGGAGTCGGACTACTAGAGGTTCACTCTCAGAGCTGCCTTAATTATAATTGGCTCATAAACCAATTCCTTAACGTCTCAGTCTTGGCTTCCTCACCTACAGTACCTGTTGTAGAGGTGGTTGTCAGAGATAAATGTGATTCTCTATAAAATGGCTAGGAAGGTGTTTGCTGCTGCATTGTTTGTGCTCATTAAGTAATAATTATGTTCAACTTTGCTGTTTTATACACTGGAAAGAAAGCAATTGAAGGTTTTTGTTGTTGCTGTATTTGGTTAATTTTCAATTAGTGCTTGAGTTCAGAGAG